GGTGATGAAACACCGGGAGGAACAGGAGGATGCGACAGTCTCTGCTTTCAGCACTCTCATACGTCAGCATGGGTGCGAGTCCTCTCTGGACGATGGTCTCCAGCCCCCAAAGAGGTTCAAGGGTGACCCAGGCTCTCTGAACGACCCCCCTGCTGCCACCAGCCTGCTCGTGGCCCTGATAGAGGGGTTAAAGCAAACCTACCGGAGCATCGCCCAGCCCCGCGCCAGGTGCTATGCCTTGGCCAACCTGGTGGAGCTGCTGACCGCCTTCACCGAGCTAGAGGCGGAGGGCAGCCCCCTCCCTGTTGTGGAGTACCTGGAGAAGATCAGCTCTGTCGTCAGCCTCTGGACAAGCGACACTGAGAGCCAGTTCCACCACAGCGGGCTGGACGAGAAGGTGAAGGAAGCAGAGAGAAGCATGAGCCTCTTGCCCATGGCCAAGCTCTCTCGTGAGGAGCTCTTTGGTGGCTTGGACTTTCTCTGCAGGCTGTTGCATGCCTGGGGAGAGGAGCTGCAGGGCACCCTGAGCAGCTCTGAGGGGCTCTGCTATGAGAGCTACCGGCTCCTGGACACTCTTACCACCCTTGGGAAGAACCTGGTTTGCTTCTCAGAGACTGGAGACCTGGGTGAGCATGAGACACGCGTAGTGTTAGAGCTAACACAGGTCACTAAGGACTTTCTCAAGGAGACCAGTGCCAGCCTGAAGGGCAAGGATTTGGATGCCAGCCTTGTGTCTTCAGTTGCCATGACAATCATTGAGCAAAAGCTGGACCGGCACGTGGAGATGTGCTCCGTTTTTGCTTCTGAAAAGACCTGGGCCTTTTCAAAGGACTGGGCTGACTGCCTTGTGAAAAGCAAAGCTCTCTTCCAGAAACCAGAGCTAGTTCTGAAATTGCTGGAGACGCTGGTGAACTTTGCCGTGTCCCGCCAAGACAAGGAGGGCCGAGAGCTGCAGATGCGAGTGACCCAAGCCATCGTGGAGTGTTACACTGAGCTTTCGTTAACCGACAAAAACAAAGTGATCTCGGGCGTCCTGGCGTCCTGGGGCGGGCCAGGTCTGTCCCTGAACTTGCAGGCTGTCATGGAGGGGTTCCAGGAGGATCTGAATGTGACTTTCAACCAGATCACGAAGAGCGTGTCTGATGAAGGCCTGACCAGGGCTGTGGCTTCTGTGGCCAGGCTCGTGCTGCTGCACCCCGAGGCCACAGTGAAGCAGGTCTGTAACCTTGCTGTCGTCAACCTGGGAGCACACCAGTTCCTCGCGCAAATCCTCTGCTCCTTTCCAGCGCTGAGCTTCCTGGAGACCCCCGATGATCCGGGCAGGCCGTGCAGCCTGGTGGTGAGGTGTCTGGAGGAGGCAGTGTGGGGGAGGCTTTCCACCGTGAGGGAAGAGGAGCAGTTCCTGGAGTTCCTGGCCGTCCTCATGCAGCCAAGCTCAGCTGCCCCGCTCGTGTCTCCTGCAGAGGTGACCAAAGCCTTTGTCCTTCCCTATTTGAAGTCAGACTGTGCTCAAATTGACCTGAGCCTGCAGATCCTCAGTAAGGTTTTGGGGATACAGTCCTGTTCAGAAGAGCACTGGATCAAATCCTGTCACCCATTCCCGCTTCTCCTCAGCCTCTGCAGGCTTCTAGATGGTTACACAAAGTACTGGCATCGGCCTAAGGACCAGCTCTTCCCTTTGCTGGAGTCCAAAGACCTGGTGCTGAGCATCCTCTGCCAGCTCTGCGAGGTGGTAAGACCAGAAGCCGCCCCCTCCCCAGAGCTGTGGGTCCAGTCGCTGGCTTGGCTTCACAGGAAGGTGGCATCACTGGACTGGACCATCGGTCTCCGGCTGAAGAAGCTTTATGGAGACCACTTCAAGAACGAGGTCCCGGCAACGCTGTTTGAGATCTGCACGCTTCCTGAGGACGAGTGGACGTCCCAGCCTCTGCCAGCGTATGGCCCGGGCAGCGGGCTCCTGGCGTGGATGGAGGGCTGCACAGCACTCAGGGAGACAATGCTGACGCTCCTCACGGTCAACGTGGACAACCCTGAAGAAGTGAATCTTTTCAGCAAAGGGTTCCTGGTGGCCCTCATTCAGGTCCTCCCTTGGTGCAGCCACAGCGAGTGGAAGAGGCTCACGCACGTGGTGGAAAACCTGCTGCAGAGGCAAGTCCTGCACGTGCCGTACACGCTGGAGTACGTGCAGTACATGCCCCTGCTCAACCTCCGGCCGTTTGCCTGCTGCCTCCAGTTCTCCGTGCTCCTCCTGCGGGGCTTCCAGCTCCTCTGCAGCTCCAGCTGTTCCAGCTGGCTCCCGGCAGAGGCTTGGCTCCACGTGGTCCAGCTGTACTGCAGCAGCCTGACGGACCTGCTGGGCTCCGTCAAGAGCACCGCGGGGCTCCCCTCGCCCCCC